AAAATATATGAACTTCATATATTCATTGTATCTCATTTATCACTTTCACGGGTTTATTACGAATCAACTTGACGGCCTGCTCCCAGTTGGCTTGTTAGCTCAATTGGTAGAGCGCTGCACTAGTATCGCAGAGGTCAGTGGTTCGAATCCCGTACAGGCCTGATTTTTTTCAGGTCTGATTTTTGCTATTGCCTAAATAGCGCTATCTACTGCGAGGATCATCCATCATACGTATCTAATACCGCAGTTCAAAAATATATGAACTTCATATATTCATTGCATCTCAGAATATTTACTATAAAATTTCATTAATAACGTTAAAATATTAAATTTGTTTATAAATTCAATAATGATAACAACAAAATGGTTTACGATGTAATATAATTAATCTAAAAGTGAGCAAAAGATTAACTTAATAAGTAGTCTCAAGTGTTACACAGGTAACAATTTGAACATTTGTTCTTAGCTAGACTCGAAAGGGAACAAGGGGGGAGAGAGGGTTTGTTTTCGCAGTGTGAAAGATGCAAGCTAGTATTATCTGCATTGATGTGGTATGTTATAACTTACAAGATTGTAAATATCAAAGTCTGATTAACAGTTGAGGTCTAAAACAGTACTTAAAAAGAGTGTTTTTAAGTACTTCAATATTTTACCTGCCACTGCAGGGCTGAGTGTTTAAGGGATAAGGTAACTGTTATGATTATCCAAGATTAAAACTTTAATTTTGCTTTGATTGCATCTAACTCTCTCATTCCTGTGATCTAAATTTCAATTCTTGACAACATCTGCTTCTTGTAGACATTAATTTTCATTTCATGTTATTTAACCACAATCGATATGTTTCTATCTTTGCAACACTTCTCTGCTTGAAACTACAATGGAATTGTTGGGAGAAATTCCTTTTTTGTCACTCCAGGAAGTGAAAGGATCCATGAAAAAGCATATGAATGCATGTACATGTATAGGGATAAGTGCAGAGGGCTCGTATCATTTAGGAATCAAAATATGATACAGCAAAGCTGTTAGCAAAGTTACAAGCACAGCTGTGAAAAAAAATTTAAAGCATCCTAGGGCTAACCCTTTTACTCCCAGAAGTGATTAACCTGTATCTTCTCCTCATGATGTATAAACGTTATCTAACAAACAGGTGATGAGAATACTTGAACTTATCAGGTAGAATTGTTTGTCTTAATCTAACACTGAAGTCTTGTAACTTTCCTACAAGGAAATGTGAAGCTACATGTAAAGGGGGAGGGATTAATAAATCACACAATGGAAGACATTTGAAGCCAAGTCTTGCATTGTGATTGCACTTGTAGAAGACAGAGTGAGTTGACTTTCATCATTTCATTTTTCAGGTTTTTGTTCAAGACAGTAGTGGGTGTGATTTTGCTCTTTTACTTTACATGTGTGATAATAATGTATTCCTCATCAGAAGCAAGGCAGCTTATGATTTATTTACATCCTTGTAAGTACATATACACAGTAATGTAAGGGAAAATTTTATAAAGGAAGTTGATTAAAAACTATTTTCATCGGTGATTTGAAATATGTAATGTATATGATGAAGATGTTGCTTGTTCACAACTTGTTCAGTTGTATGCACAGGGAGGAATTCTTTCAAGCAATATCAAGGCCAATCAAACTCAATATAATGCCATTAACTTTTTTATACAACATGTAAATGAACCATATGAATCTGCTGAAGTGACTTCACTGTAACCCATTAACTGCTGGGATCTGATTTTGATTTTCCCACCAGCTGCTGCAATGTTTACCTGATAAGTTTTTATAATCTGTTCATGTTGTCCTTCAGCGGCATTGTTGAAATACATACAAATTAATCGAATGAAGCCTTGCACTGCTGTAAAAAGTAAAATGTTTCACAAATCCCAGCTTTTGCCTATCAACGGCATCATCAGGGGAAAGCTTGGATTTGTGAAATATTTTACTTTTTACAGCAGTGTAAGACTTCATTCGATTAATTTGTATATATTTGATAAGTTTTTGTTGGCTGGATAATGTGTGGCTTTATTTAGGGAGGAGTTACTTGTTGATCACTTCTGGAAGGTTAAGGGTTATGAGATGTTGAGGTACAAATAGAAATGTTAAGATTTTCATCAGAACTGCTTTTGTAATGACCAAGGTTTGTTCTATTTGGTCTTGTACAGTATACTTGTACAGTGGGATTACATACAAATAAAGGTAGAGATCTCTTGATTCAAGGAATTGTGAATGATATGTTTTTTTTTTTTTCTGTAGTACTGGTAACTTTCTTTTTCCTCTTTTGTCACCCAGGGAAGAGTCCATTTGAAAATTTAGCTGATCCTAGTTCATTTGGTTTACCTGATAGTACTGTACATTTTTATATATCTGGTCCTGCTGGTAAACTAGGAGCATGGTAAGATTTTTTGTTTTGTTTCTTTTTGTTTTGTTTTGTTTGTTGTTGTTGATTTGTTGTTGTTTTCTTTGTTTTAATCAAGTTATACAGTTCATGATATTCACAGGGTGAAAAGATATTTTATACTTTAATTCAACATAGCTGTAGAATTTTGTAGTTACTGTAGCATTGACAAGTATTTAGCCAGTCTTTTCTGCAAAACTTATCACATGGCACATGGAAGGGGAAATGGGATGAATATAGGTGTTGTTGTATCAGGGTTGGGACACAGTTGCACCAACTTAAAGTTGTGTAGATTTGGCTGTAATCATGTACATGGCTTCAAACCAGTTTAAGGCAATACAATCTAATCCAGATTGAGGGAAAATTCTTTAACTGTAAGAAAGAAATATTTTCTCTAAACATCTTGTAGTGGCAGGAAAGGGAATAATGACTGTAACCTGACCTAAAGAATTAGCAGTTTCTTTCAGCAGAACTGCTTTTTTCATAATGTTCTACAGTGAGTGTGCCTGCATTACTTTTATTCAGTGGTGTTCCCTTGAGACAGTGTAATGCAGACTTTTCCAGAAATTAGGAGTTGATAACACAAGAAAAGTAAAAGCTGTTATTTCTCAATCAACAGCAGGTTTCAATTAGAAATTATTGTTGATAAGGTCTACTACTAATGCTGAATAGAAGAATATGGGTGGTCTATGATTATGCTTTCATTTGTTTTTGTTGTTGTTGTATATTTTAGGAATATTCTTAGTCAAAATGCTGATAAGGCTCAAGATGCCAAAACTGACAAGCATTCCCACCTCAGTGATGGAAGCCCAGTATTTCTCTATTTTCATGGCAATGGTTTTACAAGGTTAGTACATTGTTGGTAAATTTTCATGTACACGTAATAGATCAGTGAAAGAATGCAGGCCCCAGTTGTTCACAGGATGGATAACTTCTTATCTGTTGGATAAATCACTATCCAGCGTATAAATTTTATCCATGGCATCATATCGGTTGTTCAAAGCATGGATAGCACTGTCCACTACCTATCCAGCTCATAAATTTATCCATGGTTAGGTAGGAAGTATAAATTTTTATCCACTGGATAAACACAAACAAAATGGCTGCCGGACAGTTACATCTTTGCTGTAACCTGCCTGAAAATCAACATTGAAAAAAGAGAAGAATTTATCGCTGCCAGCTCGATCCGTTAGAAACATATACAGACGCTGAATTGAGATCCAAGTATCGTTTTGGACAAGAGACGATACAATACATTGTTGGCCTTGTTGCCAACGATATCGCACCCCAAACAAATTGCAACTGTGCTGTTCCTGCAGTAGTGCAATTCCTTAATTCCTCCCATATTCAAGTTTGGTTTTTGTTTGAAAGTGTCAAGAAAAATTTTCTCTTAGTAATGTCCATATTTTCTTCCACCTCTTCAAAAATAACTGCACATTCGGCAGGTGTAAAGTTCAGCTTTCTAGTGCGCTTTGCCAGGGAGAAGGAGCTACATTTTCTGCCATGTTGTCTCACCACCAGCACGCGCGAGCGAACAGTTAGTGCAACGCCTGGGTTATAACCATGGCAACTGCCTGGATAGCGAGTTATCCATTGGATAGTTATACGCCTCGCTATCCGTGCTTTCTGCAACAACTTTTTATCGGCTGGATGATTATCCAGTGGATAGCCTTCTTATCCACCAGATAAGATTATCCAGTGGATAAATTTATCCATCCTTTGAACAACCGGGTCCAGAACTTTATTATTTTATTGACTAAAATTTTCTGAAGGAGATTTTGAAAATTAATGTGAGATGTTTTATCACCATTTTGGGGTATCCGATTCCAGTTTTTGGGGTGTGATTGTTAAGGGGAAGAAACCTCAGTTGTTTCGCACAGAGTAGTTTACTTATCATATGAGAAAATGAATTTTGTAGTACCAAACTACTCTATAACATATGTGTAAATGAACATAGTACACATTGTCTGATTGGTTAATTCAGTTTCCAAGCAGATTCTAAATCAGGTTATAGAGCCAGCAATTTTTATTTTTATATTGGGCACAACTTGTTAAAATATGCAGCAACACTACTCAACAAAACATTCAATAAGATGTATTTATTGCTTTAGTATCTGAAGTGGTGGTACAATTATGTTTTCCTTTTTTGTGTGTTCAGTTTCATAACTGATTGAATGATTGCAACAGTACTTGACCATCAACCATTGTTTTTTTGTTGTTTTGTTTGTAAAGTCTTTGATCTAGTACACATATGTGTACCTGAAATAAATATTCAATATACTTGATAATTACATTTTTTTCCTTTCAGAGGGACTGGTCACAGACTAGGACTTTATAAGGTTGTTATGATTGACATACATGTATTACTAAAATCACAAAATAAATGACTTTTTTAAAACACATTCTTAAAACCACACAAATACCAAAGTTTTTTTTAATTTCATTTACAGCTCTCCTGATTTATATTGAAAAAAGATACCTTGTAAATTTTTTGCAATGTTATGTCTTAATAATGTAACACTAAGTTTTTTGTTTTGTTTGATTGTCTATGTCCCTGCAGTTGTTGACTTCCATTGGTTATCATGTGGTAACAATTGACTATAGAGGTACAGTTTTGTTTTGGCATTTGATTTTATGGTTTGACAAAATTAATTGTCACAATCCAATAAAATGCAGGTTTAGATGTGTGTGCATGTATGAGAATTGTGGATCACTTAAGGTGGAGGATTTTGAAAAAAATTGTGTCTTAATAAATAGTTTGTTATCTGCATGAGAGGGAATGTTGAAAACACAATTTGTTAGAGAAGCAGGCTTTAATGGAACATTTTTCCCTGAATATACTTGATGAAAAATATTCAGAATGTCAACTTTTCAAAGAAATTTTTATGGCAATCTATCTGTACCAAATTTTCTCCATGATCAGCCGAGTAGTTTTGCTCTCAATCTGATGCAGTAGCAGAGTTGTTTACAGTGAAGATGCATGTATCCTCTGCTGTGTGTACAGGGTAAATCAAAATACTACAACAGCACTTCAGTACAAAGAATTGTAGTGGTTCTCAGCTACATGTACTTTGCCGCCTTTTTTTTTTTGTTACTTTTAATTTCTATGAATAGTTTTTTCTTTTTACTGATGATGGAAACATTTCTTTTGGTTATTTTTGATAGGTTTTGGTGACTCTGAAGGAAAGCCATCTGAAAATGGTATTGTTAAACTTGAGATATGAAATTGCATCACTGCTATCATGGTAGATCAGTTCTTAGTATAGTAAAACATTTCTACTTTATACTGTAGGGTTTTTAATTTGAAGACTGTTGTTATGAAAGAAATTAGTCACTTTTCAAGATTACTTTTGATCATTCAATAACAGGCAGTAAATCTTTAAATAGAATGGTCCTGATAGATGACAATATCAACATCCATTTGAGTTGAATAGAACAGCATACCTGTTTGTTAATCAAAAGTGTTTACTGTTAGGACTCATTGAGGATGGTCTTGCTGCTTGGAAGTGGATAAGGTCACAAAGTCCTGAGGCACCTTTGTACATTTGGGGTCACTCCTTAGGTTCAGGGTAAGAGGAACTACTGGTTGTAATACTCTTACAGAGTAAAAATTGCTCTGCTTGTGCTCTTAGAGTACTAAGTTGTCCCAGCAAGGTAAATGTAACTTCAGACAGCATATTGGTGTTTGAAAAAGCTTTTAGCAACTACCAGTGCAGGACTGAAGTGCTGTGCGATTCCTAGGGCTGATGAATATTCCTGTTGGGCCACCAAGGTTTTACCAGCAACTTAGATTTGCTGAGACAAAGTTTTTGTAGGAGTGTTTCTTGTAAGGCACTATCAGTTATTAGTTCAATAGGTGAGAACTTACATGCACATCGTACCACGTCACATTCATTTGTGTTGTTTCATCTTGTGTATTTATTATTTTAGAGTAGCTGGTGGAGTTGCAAAAGCTTTATGTGAAGAAGGTTAGTCCACAATAAACACTGTAACTGGTGGAAAAGCGTAGAGTTTATGCCATGTTAATACCCTATGTCACGGGGATCCTTGATTTTAAATATAAAGCAGCCTTCATTCTTTGCAAGGGACTTCCCTTTAGAATCTGTTCTCTTGTGCAGTCACAAAATCTACAGGTGTATTAATCTTGATTTCCTGGAAAGAAGGACCACATTCCCGCAGTTTTAAGATTTACTTACAGTATTTTGGACTGTTTAAGTTTCAGAGTGAAGTTCCCATGCACAAGCAGATTAAGGAGATCCGATCCTACCAACGCATCGGCCAACAGTTGGTCGACAGTCTACCGACTGTAGGTCAACTGTCGGCCGATGCGTTGGCCGACACGTTGGTAGGATCAGATTCTTTACCTTTAGCCATGTAAGTGATTTTGAACACACAAAAAAGTCATGTTATGAGCTGATGCAAGAAGTTCCTACAATGATAGAGTTTCACTGACATGGACAAAACGTTGATTATAGTATATAATTATGTATAGTATATATAAAGGTGGAATAACACTGCTGAGAATATATAGTACACAATGGTACAGTATACAATATACAATATAAGGTGTTGTTTCTTACAGGTTCTCCACCATTAGGAGTCATTCTTGAAGCACCTTTTAACAATATTTGGGATGGAGCAGTCCACCATCCAATAACTATAGTAAGTTTTGAAACCTCTGGCAAAAGTGAAAAAGCGTGCCTGAACTTTTCGTGGCCATTTGTGCCATACAAGGGCTGAGGGTTTGTCTCGAATTAAGTGCACTGTTGAACCTTTTCCCTCCCTAAAAAGACCAAACAGTAATTTCCTAATTGGATTATAAAATACAATTTGAGCAGAAAGGTGATGAAAAAAAAAAGGAAATGTCAGCGATGGAATTTGTTAATTTGACACCAAATTCTCAAGCGGTAAAATTATAACAAATGTTTGAGAGGCAGTGTGTGGGAGGATCGATAAGGAGATCTTGGGAGCGTAAGGGTTATTTAGGTGGCCTTTAAGGAGGAATGCATGTGTTTTTGTGCATTGCAGTGCTCATCTCTTGAGTGGTTCTTCCCATCCCGTAACACCTATGACATTTTTAGTCTTTGTTTCATTCTCTTCTCTCTTATCATTTGCTCTGATAAAGGTCTCGCGCTCGCAACAACTCTAGAAACTCTCCTATGGTGGCAAATTCACATTATCAACTCAGTTGATAAAACCAAATTATATTGTCACACCCTCACTGACGCAGCACCACGGCGTCTTTAGAAACTTACCCCCTTTATTTAAATATGAATGTCTCTGGAAAATGATCTTTGGAAATGCACAGCCGTTTGTGTGTTAGAAAAAGAAGATATTATTATGGCGGATGATATAGTATTATTTTGTCATCATCTTTGTTCTAAATGGTCTTTGATTACAAGGCGTTATTTATATTGTCATTGCTTGTGTAAGGTATTGAGCAAGGAATCATCAGGCTCAAGCGACATCTTGCATTTTTCTCTATTGTCCCCAAAGTCTTTTCGGATAGAGGAGAAAATCAAGATGGATAATATTTTTGCCCTTTTTTGTTTTTGATCAAGTGCTGGTAAATAAAACTTTTTTCATGGTAGCCTTTCAGATTCCTTCCATATTTTAATGAGACCGTGCTAGATGAAGTCAAAGAAGTATTTCGCACTGATAAGAGGTGGGTAATTCTTAGGTTACCTCGTTCAGAATGGTAATACCCACACTACTATCCCTTAGAGATACGCTGTTGCACATTCATTGCTAATGCGAATACTGTATTCTAATTTAGCGACACACAGTATCGCTTGCATGTACTGCAGCAATTACAGTAGATGGAATTACGCGCGCTTCAATCGCGTGTACTCGCGCGTACAGTATAAACTGCAATCCGCGTGCAGTGGTTTACGCGAGCATACGTATGTTGTAATGCGCCTTTTTGTCGTTTTAGGCGACCGACAAAATGCAAAGTTGATCATTTACACACTATTCGCTTCAGCAATACCCTCCTATAATGTAGGAACTTAAACATGTCGACAGTTATATAAATAAATTCTTGATCGAAACTATGAATCAAAAAAATTGTTTGTTGCAAACCTGTTTAAGTATACTGCTACGTGGTCGGAGGATATTGATCTAAAATGGAACTCTGAGTCTTATTCAAAATTAATCTTGTGTCAATAGAGTTGTCATTCTGCTTTTCCTTACTGCAGATTCATTGTACTGTGCTCCTTTGGGAGTCACCACTATCGACAATAGACCTCAGGACTTCACTCAGCCGAACGATCAGACTACATTATCACGTGTAATCCCAGGTTCAAACAATTTAGTGTATCTTTTTGTTTTGTTGTCTAGGTTAGCAGACGTCTATTGTCCGATATTAATCCTTCATGATAGAAGTGATGAGATCATATCGTTTGAACTAGGAAAAAAGGTAAGCAATGGAGACAGGATTTACCAGAGTGAGAAACTGAACTCATACCCTGCGAGCAGAGCCTTTTCTTCTTTTCTTCTTTTCTTCTTTTTAACCCTCCAAGGGAAAAGGCTCTACCGACATCCTGTTGTTGCTTTGAAATGCGGAAAGCTCAAAACTCCGGGCTACTCAAGCCGGTCTTGCCTCCAGTCAAACCGGTTTTGGTGCGCACGCCTTTGTTTTTCATGTTTTTAAGCGCATTAGATCATTTAAGGTAAATAGGAGAATTGCTCATGTTTCTGATTATTAGGCCTGTCCACCCTCCAGCTGTTTGTTGACCTTGTGTAACAGTTCTTCATTTTACTTCATACGTATTCCCCTCACCCTTGGAGTTAGCCTTAAGGCAACACAGTAACCCTTACCAGCACATTAACACTTGCGGCGGAATACGCCAAGGACTTTGCATTCTTAAGAACCTATAGGCGTAAGTAAACTAAACATTTAGAGTTGTCACTATTGTTATGTAAAATGTTGAATTTATTTTTGTGTTTTTCCTATGATCTAGTTGTATGAAAGTGCTAAGGTCTCGCGGCCAGCTGATGCAGGTCCTATCAAATTCATTGAATTAGATGGACATTATGGTCACAAGATGATCTACCAATCACAAAAGCTGCCGGGGATCTTGAGGTGAATACTTTTTTTTTTTTAAGTGAACACTCGGAACTCTTGCGCTCGTGAAACTAGCAATTTTTATCTATGGCCTTTCAAACAGTGGAGTTTTGTTTAGGTAACAGTTGAGGTACAATAGTTTTCTTGAGTTTTCCTCTGAATGACTGCATTATCGCTTATTGTTTATTTCTTGGAGTGAAAATAAAACGTACATCGAAGGAGAATCAATACGAATTTTTTCTTGTCTTGTTTGGAGAAAAATTTCTCCCAAAAAATGTAATAGTCCCTTTTACAGTTGTGGGCTTGGTGGCCAAGCCTTTGAACAGGAGTGAGGCTAAGGGTGACCCTGTTGTGATAGAGACCTGTATCTACTCAGCATGATAACAAAGTAATTTGCATTTGAAAAGCAGCAACATCTCTATCATAACAAAGTCACCCTGAGCCTCACTCCTGTTCAAAGACTTGGCCACGAAGCCCACAACTGTAAAAAGGACTATTCTGTGTACCGATAACTCAATATTACAAATTGTTGTTTCAGCTTTTCACCTGGTATTCCCCAGAAATTTATACAAGCCGCAAGCTTGCTTCTAGAGAAAGTTTTCGTGTGTCTAATTTACTTTAACTATTTTATTTCACCCATTGCACAGACGTTTTCTCTGTGCTTCACTAGTATTCTAAATTGTTTAAAATCCAAAAAATCTACTGGGAGTTGTAACGACTCGCCGAAATCTAGCAAATGTACGTCTCGGCCCGTGGGTTTGTACACCGTGAAAAAAGAAAGAAAAGAAATAGAACCGGTTCCAATTAGAAGCGCAGTTTTTATAAGAGTGTTCTGAAAATCTTCCTGGCTTTGATGTGCGATGTACACGTTGTTTCTTGGGACATGGATCAAAGAACTCTTTCATATCCTTGATGTCTTAAAAATCTTCCTCTTTGACGAATCCTCAGTTTGTTTTAAATAGATAATGTGGTGACCTGAATTGAAACGTTTCGCTTTGTTTTGTTATTATATTTTGTTATTTTATTTGTCTTGTAAACTTCTGTATCACTATATCATTTTTTTGGTGTAAATTTCTTTTTTTTTCTTTCTTCATCATTTTTAAGATTTTTTTAATTTCTTTTTCAGGGAATTCGTCAGGACCAACTGATGCACAGATCAGGATACGAGTTAGATGTCTGAAGACACGTGATTTTAAGGGGCGAATTGCCTTAAAAAATGGACGCGAGGGCAAAACAGTGAGGGAAGCGGTAACATTGAAGTGAAAAAAGTCTTACAAGAAGATTATTAAATGGCTAATAGACATGTTCATATTAATGTTAGATTACCACTGTTGGTAGTCGTTTAAAATGGATGTAAACTTTTAAATCCTGATGTCAATTGAGTAGTTAGAATCATTTTTAAAATAAACGTGCTATTTCTTGCACAAAAATTATTCTGAATTTAATGTTGCCTGCGTTCTTAGAAAGGGGATGTAGCGAAGAAAGTTATTAACGAACGCGAAGGTTTTGACGCGGTCAAACTTTCTCTGTTTCACTCATCTCCTTATCTGCCGAATGCGTGAGCAGTAGCGTTACCGCAACTGGAAAGGACAAGTCTGACTAGATCATTTTTCGGGGAGTAGAGATGGTGCAGTGACGAGAGCGCTCGCCTCCCACCACTGTGGCTCGGTTTTGATTGCCGGACCTGGCGTCACATGTGGGTTGAGTTTGTTGTTGGTTCTCGTCCTTGCTCCGAGGATTTTTCTCCGGGTCGTCCGGTTTTCCTCCCTCCGCAAAAACCAACTTTTCATATTCCAATTCGTTCCGGAAACAGTGGAATGTCCATCGCTAAATTTCATATTTTTTAACCATGTCTACTAAGTGATAGGCGCTGAGATCAAAGGAGATTATGGAGAATAAAAAATGAAAAACGAAATGGTTAAGAGTTTCTTTTCCCATCTGGACTGACTGGGTCCGATAAACGATTGAGGAACAAAGCAAAGATAATGTCAAATTTCATGTTAACCTGCGTCAGTCTCGTATTACACATCACAGAAGGCGCTAAAGTGTGGTAAGTACATCAGTGACACACTCGTTTACCACATTAGACATCATCCTCGATCTTTTTCCACAGAAAAGTACGCCAACGTTGAATACATTTGTTAAGTATTTATATTAAGAAACCATGAGCTAGAAGGAACACTTGTTAAAATGGCTCTTCAAGTTCATGAGATGTTTGTACCCCATTGGATCTAGGTTAGTTCTAAATCAAAACAAACAATTAGTAGAACGCCAGTTGAATTGTTTTTGGTTTCACGGTTTTTTTGTCTTATCTTTTAGTAACTTTGTTGAGAGAACATCGCAGTTTTCTACCAGAAACATTTCAGGGGTTCAAGAAACTGTCGTAAAACAGCCACAGGGTCATTTTATCAATACCCTATTCTGTTAATCGGTTGAATGTGGTGTGTTGGTTTGCCTGTATGCGGTAGAAAGTTGCCTTTGGCTGACTAATGAAGGAATTAGAATACAAAAGAATAGGCTAATCACGAGTTGCTTACGTAACTGGCAACGTTTTCGTTTAAGATTGTAGATCACGGAGTACCGAAGTCTCTGAGTACATTGAATAATTGTTCTTCGTTTCCTGAGCAGCACATCACTTTTTCAGTAGTGTACCATTAAGTCATGATATTCCATAGTCGAGTGACTTCTTTCATGGCGTTAAGATGTTCCAGCAGAGAAAGTAAATTTGATATTTAACGCTGGAAAGAAGAAAGCTTAACCTTTATCTAGATCCCCAATAATGGAGATGAGAGCGAACCTTTGGTTCCTAGCAACCTTTTTCTTTTCTCTGTGATTCTCGCATCTTTGCCTTGTTAAGACAAATTTTCTGATTAAATAAAAAAAAAAAAAAAAAAAATAGAAAATAATTGATCCAGATAAAAAAGCCTATTTTCAACTGTTCTAGCCGGTGCATTTCTTTCTTTCTGTGAATTTCTCTTCCATTGTTAGAAAAGAGAATTATTCTCCAAGCAACTTATGATTGTTGGTAAGTGTATTGTGGGGTATAATTGGGCACATTCAGTTTCAGATTTTGCAGAGAAAAAAATTCTCCTTTTTGTCTTGGAATAACGAAATGAATATTAAAATGACTATAAGTAATAGTTATCTGAAACACTAAAAATTAAGTAGAGGTTGATAATGCCTAATCATCATTTCTCCAAATTATTTTACTTAACAACTTCACTCTTTGCGCTGACTATAAAGAGAAAAGGCAAACCTGTTTACACTAGAGAGAACTTTTTATGCTCAAACCAAGAGGTCTTCAAAATATTTTCTTTATGAATAACAATACACAGCGGCACAACAAATTAAAAATAATGGCGTAACTAATTATTCACTACAGGATACTAATTATCTTAATGGCACAATGGATTCCCTCCTTGGACCTAGAGTGAATGAAAACGATACTAAGCGTTCTGTAATCTATTTCAGCATTCTTCCCATAAAAGAATTTGAAACGGAAAATATGATTATTCTTAGGTCGTTGGTAAGTGTTTGGGATGTTCAATTTTAGGCTTATAACCACAAAGTTTTGTTTTTAAACCCCTTCATTTTCTTCTTTCGTCAGGTGTGTGCAAGTATCTACACAATTTTTCTGCCTCGTACATTGGCATCGAACGGTATGTTCTTTACGCAATGTTGATCGGTGAATCTTTGCGCAACCTCGTTAGTTAGATCTTTTGAAAGAATAATTCCGACGCTTTGAAGCGGAGCGATCTATTCTCCTGAAAAAACCTCATCCAGCTTTCTGAATGGACGAAATACGAGTCATTCTTTATCTCTTAGTCTTGTTAACAATGACATATCACTGAATTTGAGTTTCCTCATACTTATTGCGAAGAGAACATTTATTAAGTTTTAAGATTGTTTCAACAAAGCACTCAAAGTTGACAAGTGGTCTGGCCGTATTACAACAACTCTTTTTAAGTTCAGTCGTTGGGAAGTATGCTCTGAAATAAAAGATCCCCGTTAGTCTTCATTTGTTCCTTAACTAACCCAGAGACCAGTTAGCACTCGTCTCAGCTCCAACGTTTGTCCAAAAGTGACTTTGAGAGCCTTCTGCTCTGTAAAGAATTTCTCGCTCCTTTCATCCATATTAGTCTTCTGAGTCAGAGATCTTCGACAAAAGAGACTTAATCTTTGAATCGAGTATAATTTGTTTAATGAAAAGGAAAAAGACGACAACAGCTACAAAAAAAAGAAAGAACCAACCACAAGGAATAAAAAGCACTGGTAAGAAATAATGAAAAAATTAAAGAAAGTTACGATGCTGTTTCTTTCTTGCCGGATTATGTAAAACGTAGGTCCAATCTCTAGAGGGGACTTCTTGTGCGCAGGTGCGAGATTACACACAAGCAATGAAGTCACTTGGTGCTTTTGTTTTGTCATTCCCAAGCCTCAAGAATTAATGGCCTTGATATTGCTTGAAAGAATTCCTCCCTGTGCATACAACTGAACAAGTTGTGAACAACCAACATCTTCATCATATACATTACATATTTCAAATCACCGATGAAAATAGTTTTTAATCAACTTCCTTTATAAAATTTTCCCTTACATTACTGTGTATATGTACTTACAAGGATGTAAATAAATCATAAGCTGCCTTGCTTCTGATGAGGAATACATTATTATCACACATGTAAAGTAAAAGAGCAAAATCACACCCACTACTGTCTTGAACAAAAACCTGAAAAATGAAATGATGAAAGTCAACTCACTCTGTCTTCTACAAGTGCAATCACAATGCAAGACTTGGCTTCAATTGTCTTCCATTGTGTGATTTATTAATCCCTCCCCCTTTACATGTAGCTTCACATTTCCTTGTAGGAAAGTTACAAGACTTCAGTGTTAGATTAAGACAAACAATTCTACCTGATAAGTTCAAGTATTCTCATCACCTGTTTGTTAGATAACANTTCTTTCTTGCCGGATTATGTAAAACGTAGGTCCAATCTCTAGAGGGGACTTCTTGTGCGCAGGTGCGAGATTACACTCAAGCAATGAAGTCACTTGGTGCTTTTGTTTTGTCATTCCCAAGCCTCAAGAATTAGTCATTAAGATTGTAAGTAGCCATGAAGTGATAAAACAGAATTGCTAAATTGTTTTAAATTGCAATTTGAAGTCGAAGGTAATTTTCTCAGTCTTCCTCTACTCCAACTTCTTCTTCGTTTCATTATCTTGGAATTATTAAATCAGTCTTTCCAGTAGAAAAGTACAAGACAAAACATCCCGATGTGAATATCGTAACCCCTCCACTCTCCAAATTGATCAAAAGGAATTTCTCCTTTCAATATTATATGTGATAGAATATATGAAGTTCATATATTTTGAACTGCGGTTATAGATACGTATGATGCACGATCCTCGCAGTAGAGAGCGCTATTTATGCAATAGCGAAAATCAGACCTGAAAAAAAAAATCAGGTCTGTACGGGACTCGAACCACTGACCTCTGCGATACTAGTGCAGCGCTCTACCAATTGATCTAACAAGCCAACTGGAGCAGGCCGTTAAGTTGATTCGTAATAAACCCGTGATGATAAATCAGATGTGATGAATAAATGAACTTCATATATTCATTAGATCTGATTTATCATCACGGGTTTATAACGAATCAACTTAACGGCCTGCTCCAGTTGGCTTGTTAGCTCAATTGGTAGAGCGCTGCACTAGTATCGCAGAGGTCAGGGGTTCCAATCCCGTACAGACCTGATTTTTTTTTCAGGTCTGATTTTCGCTATTGCATAAATAGCGCTCTCTACTGCGAGGATCGTGCATCATACGTATTATATTATATCTGTTAGCGATTATTACATCCATTTTGATAAAAACCGGTGATCTTTGCAATCAACTTGGCTCTCATTGGTGCGATTTATTTATGAATCGCACCATTTTTTACTTCAACTCGCATCATTTTCCCAGCCAATGAGAAACCTTTTCTCATGCACAAGAACCAAACAGATTTCAAGCTTTGTCTAACGTAACAAATCAAATTGCAAGAAAGTGATGTACAACTTTTTACAAACCAGCTTAATACCTGAAAAAGTGGCATCTAACCGTACGCTTTTCCCCTTTTATCTCATATCTGAGGTGTCACGCGGAAACGGTGGGATAGCTGTTGAACTGTTATTGTTTTTGTTGTTGTTTTATTTTTTAACCTTTTAACAATAGTTATCATTATCTCTTGAAATAAGTAACATTGGGTTAATTTAAAACAAATTTTGGTACCATCAATTTTTCCAGAATATTATTCCCTTTTCAGTTGAGGATGCAAATCACTTCTGGGAGTTAGATTATCCGGAAATAGTCGACAACATCACCTGTCAGCCTGCCAATATCACGTCACAAGTCCCTGGCGGCCTTAAAAACATGCGATCACCCGCGGGCACTGG